AATAAATAAAATCTTTAAAAATAATTAAAAAAAAACCCCACATTTCCTGGGAACTAGCCCTGAAAATGCCCTCGTCAATTCCATTCAGTCCTGATGTGAAATATTTTCCTCACTTATTCTTGCTTCAATTCTTGATTAAATTAAAAAGAATAATAGAGAACAGAAGACATTAGGGCCTCAGTAAATATTTATAGCATGGTGATTAGGGGCACAGGCTACAGCCAATTTTGCTGCTCTGTGGCTCACCTTTCAGAGCCTGAGTTTCCTGGTATGTAAAATGGGGAACAATAATACCCGCCTCATAGGGTTGCTGTGAAGAATAAATGAGATAATTATATATTGATAATAATAATGCTGACACGTATTGACATTTGTTAGATGCCAAGTACCATGGTTAAGGCTTTGTGTAGATTATCTTAACTACTATAACCATATCATACCCAGAGCTCAGCATGTCAATGCTTAATAAATGTTAGCAATTATAAAGATAATGATCATTATTAACAAAGTAGGAAGAGCGGGTGCCTTGGTGGCTCAGTCGGTTAAGCATCTGCTTTCGGCTCAGGTCATGATCCCAGGGTCCTCAGATAGAGCCCCGCATTGGGCTCCCTGCTCTGTGCGGAGCCTGCTTCTCCCTCTCCCTCTGCCTGCCGTTCCCCCTGCTTGTGCTTGCGCTCTCTCTCCGTCAAAGAAATAAATAATTTTTTTTTAAAAAGTAGGAAGAGCCAGTGTTTACCGCTGTTGGCAACCTATTTGTACAGTCGTGCTCCCTTTAAAACAAAACAAAACAAAACAAAACAAAAAAACAATCGTGCTCCCTTTCACAAAGCTGGTCTAAATCCCTGGTCACGCCCCTTTCCCTCTTAGGCCCCTCGCCTTCTGGCCATACCACATCTTCAAAGCACACTGCTTTATGGGAAAGATGACCAGATTCAGAGTCTTTGGGACATCTGGGTAGAACCTGCAGCCCTGGCCTCCTGTGATTACTCATGACACGGAACAGGCTGCTTTTAGCCTCACTGATTTCCCATCTTCCGAGTGTGATCAAGATACTGCTACTCAAAAAAAAAAAAAAAGAAAGAAAAGAAAAAAGAAAGATACTGCTGCTCATTTGTTGTTAGTACTTCAGGACTGTAGGGAGAAAGATAATTTGTAAACACAAAGGATGGTGTTTTTGGTTCAGTCCCCACTTGAGAGGCTAGTGTGGGAAATAAGTGAGGTGAGGAGTGTGCGCTTAGCTCTGGCTAAGTCAGGACAGTACCTTCCAGAAGTCTGTGCACTAAACCCAGGGCCTGCATTGCACCTGGCATGTCCTAGGTCCTCAAGAAACAATTTGCTGGCGCTAAAGAAACTCATGATTTTAGCTCAAGGACTTGTTCTCTATGTCTGTTGTACCTCAGGGGCCAGCTGCCACCTACCTCTCCTTCCAGCTCTCCCACATCTGGAAACTGGAACTAAAGGCTACATGTCATTTGTTTTCCTTTAGAAATTAAAAATATAGGGTGCCTGGGTGGCTCAGTTGGTTGAGCGACTGCCTTCGGTTCAGGTCATGATTCTGGAGTCCCGGGATCGAGTCCCGCATCGGGCTCCCTGCTCAGCGAGGAGCCTGCTTCTCCCTCTGGCCCTCCCCCTTTTCATGTGCTCTCTCTCTCTTAAATAAATAAAATCTTTAAAAAAAAGGAATTAAAAAATATATATATTACTGGTGCAGAGCTATGCCTCACAAGCTTTCATTGTTGGTACTGTATTTCCTATTCCCTGACCTGCCATACCCTCCCCAAGATACTTTTTTTTTTAAAGATTTTATTTCTTTATTTGACAGAGAGAGACATAGCGACTGAGGGAACACAAGCGGGGGGAGTGGGAGAGGGAGAGGCAGGCTTCCCGCTGAGCAGGGAGCCCGATGCGGGGCTTGATCCCAGGACCCCGGGGATCATGACCTGACCCGAAGGCAGACGCTTAACGACTGAGCCACCTGGGCGCCACCCCCCCCAAGATACTTTTCCCACTGATTGAATTGTCCTCTAGAATCTTTAGGGCCAAGTTGAAGTTTGGGGAACAAGTTTTCTAAAGGTAAGCAGTATCAGGGTGTTGTCTTCCCTAGATCATCTGAGAAGCTTCTTTTCATTCGTGGACTATATGGAACTTTATCTCCCCCTGCCTTTGTTTCTGCCTCCTAAATGCCCTTTCTTGATCCTGAAATGCCCATCTCTAAGAGACCACTTCTGACTGTCCAAGCTGAATCTGATGCTGGGGTCAAGCCACAGAAAGAGATTTGCAGGTGTGAAGCATTAAAGGAAGCTAAATGCAAAAGAGGTGGAGCTGAGCTCCTAAAAGGACTTTGGAAAGTGCAGTAGACCCCCACCTAAAGTATATTTGAGTTCCTCGTGATAGATTCCATTTAATTTTGTTAGTTTGAAGTCTTCCGAAAAAGACTTTAGGGACAATGACCTAGAGAAGCATTGAAGTTTTTGGCTGGGTATAACTGATTCAAATCAAAAGCCTCTGTCCTATTATTTCAGCCATATAAAATGTTGATTTGGCACTGAAATACCCAGCAACAGGAATTCCAAGATAACATGACTGCAGCCAACCTGGTTGTGATAAAGACATGGTTTTTGAGAGAAACCAAGACCCATGTGCTAACACCACTCTGGTATTGAGGAAGATGAATTAACAGATGGCAGAACCCAATTGCTAATGAGGAGGAGCAAGGAATGACATGGTAGCCAGTTCAAGAAACTAGACAACTCCAAAACTTATATTCTGGCTTCAGTATATTGTAACACAGTAACGATTTTACTTTTTTAACTGGGCTTGTGAAGGTCAATGTAAAGCTCATTTTCCTTCACTGAGTGCACTCTGGCTTGGTTGGCTAAAAAGTAGGACACGCTGGCCTGCAGGAAAAAGAAAAAAACAAAAACAAAAAACAACCAGTCAGGGATTTCAAACTAGCTATGGATGATCCACAAATCGGTGGGTGGGCCAGTTTATATTTCCTAATGACTGCTTGGAATCACACGATGCTGGAGGAAGACCTTTGTCGCAGACATTACCCTCGCCAGATGAGGAAAGCAAGGCCCATGGAGGTGAAGAAACCAATCTAAGAGCACACAAACTATGTAGGATTATCTGGGTTCTTGGGAAAATTGTTCTTGCTGGATGCCATCCTGCCCCTGCAATTAAATGGTCACTCCTACCACAGCACTTTTCAAGACAGGTTGTGTGGCATATTATAGGAAGTACACTGAGTTCAGGATCTGAGGACATGGGACTGATTCCTTCTTACCCCCTCTGTCACTTCCCTCACTGAACCTCTCAGCTTCTTCATCTTTAGGAACTGGGGGGCACTTGGGTGGCTTATAGTTAAGCCTAGGACTCTTGGGTTCAGCTCAGAGTTGTGAGATCCAGCCCCACGTTGGGCTCCACAGCTCCATGCTCAGCACATGGAATCTGCTTTAGCTTTTCTTCTCCCTTGGGGCTTCTGGGTGGTGCAGTCAGTTAAGACTCTGACTCTTGGTTTTGCTCAGGTTGTGATCTCAGGGTTGTGAGATCAAGCCGCACTTGGAGCCCCAGGTGGAGCCCCACGTAGGGCTCCTCACTGAGTGCAGGGTCTGCTTGGGATTCTCTGACCTTCCCCCTGCTCTCTTTCTCTCTCTCAAACGAATAAATCTTTAAAAAAAAAGATTTTCTTCTCTGTCCCACCCCACATTCTCTCTCTTTCTAAAATAAATAAATGTATCTTTTTTAAAAATAGGAATTATTATACATCATGGGGTTGGTATAGTGATTATGAGGATAGTCAAATAATGAATGTGAAAGCAGGTTTTAAAAACAGTAAATGCCACCACTTGTTAAGTAATATTATTCCAAACAGCACTTGGGCCTCTATAATGATACTTGCAAATTTCTGTCTAGAAATATAATTAGTTGCTTATTCCTCCTTGGGGGATGCCCTCCTCACCCTGAACTACGTCACAACTTACTGCAGGGGGACTGCCTTTCTTACTTTTATCTGTTTCCCTCCAGTCCCTGTCAGAGTTCCTTTGATATAGTGACTCCTTGAGCAGTCCTTCTTGAACTGGATCACTTAAACTACAAATATTGTCTTGGACAAACTTCCTTTTTTCAACCACTGTTTTTTACTGATTGAGAAAATTTCAAGTGACTGAACTTTTTTCTTTTTTCCAACCAGACAGACTAAGATGCACAATGTGTGGTTACCAAAGACTTGACATTGTAATGGTGCCACATTTTTGTATAAATGTGAGGAATACAGATTCAGATGTAAGAAATGTCACAAACTAGAAACAGCTGAAGATGCAAGTTTTATGAAATCTGTTTAATGCCACTAAAGGGTGAAATAAGAGAAAAGGGGACTAGAACTATGGATTGTTGAAGTCCACATTGGTGTGCTTGTGGTCCCTTCTAGGATTTCCTGGAGCCCTACAGACTCTTATTCACCACCCACATACACATATATAAAAATATACCATCTGTAAATAGCCACCTGCCTTTTCAGTGAAATTAAAGATGAGAGAGTTAGAAGAGAATTTCCCAGTATAATTACAGGGCTCAAACCTACAGCTGCCGTACCCCTAGTGTTCTACCCAGAGAATTTCTAATATCACTTTTTTTCATCAAGCACGCTTAAAAATTTCTTTAATGGCAAAATGTTGTCAACGGGACATTTATTTATTGCCATGATTTCTCACATATCTACTCAAAAAGCTAAGGTGTTGCATCGGGTTATTGTGTAAATAATTTTGTTTTATCAACTACAGAAAATTTTCACAAGTGTTTCTGCTCCTTATCTAGGGATTAACACCAAACTGCTGCCAATGTTTTTCTTAAACTCTACACATGCCCTTTCACAGTCTCCCTCATATTTTCTGCTAAGATGTGCCTCTTTAAAAATCTGTGAGCTTCTAAAATTCTTAGGTAAGAATCAACTGTGTAAGGATGCACCCCAACGTGAAAGGAATTAAACCGAACACTTTTATCTTTGCTTACAAAAAAGCAGGTAGTAATTTATTCATACCCAGTCTTTGTTCCCTCACTAAAGACCAATGCTCTTCAATCTTTGAGCGCCCTGAAGGATGAGGCAGCTCTGACAACGAGAGGAAGGGGACACATTTATAGGAGCAGTCACGCAGCTGTCCCCACACAAGGGTCTAAGTGCCTTTAGCAGTTAATTTGTGGGCAAAAAACCCCATTGGGAGCCTTCCACCTACTCTAAAAGCAAACATTCTTAACAGGCGGTATTAGTGTGGTGTTAAAAGAGGCATGCTTTCACCTAAAAGGTGTCATTTTATGAGCAAAAACTGGATAAACCTAAAGAGACTTTAAGTCGCTATTTTTTTCCTTCCCTGATGCCCAAATCTTCACAGGTTAAGATGACCTCACACCCACTGTGATGTTCCAAACCCAGGAGGATCTTAAAAGATGCTCTGCACAGAGTGCAGTGGTGAGGCCTCCTCCTCCCGGTGAGGACTCTCACCGCTGTTCCTTCTGCGTGTTTGCAAAACACACCCGCCAAGGGAGCACGCCTGTTAATTAAAACAAAAACACAACTGTTTCTGTGGAGCTTTCAAAGTACAGAAGCTTAGAGCTGAAGCCAGGAAGGAAACAGCAGTGTCCAGTCAGCTGCTGGGTCTTGATGGCTGCCTAAGAATGAAGCAATGGTTAGGAAAAGCCAGGAAACAGGCACCTGAATTAAAGAGAAACGAGTGGGGGGCGGGGGGGAGCGAGTGAGACTTGGAATTGGAAGTATTTAGAATGCCTTTATCATTTCCCTGAGGGACTGTTTAATATCAAAGTGGCTGGATAGGAAGGCTTCTCAGTCTAATCTGATTCCAAAGTTAGCCTCTCCGAAAAGAGAGAAAGAATAGCTTCAGTGGCTTGAGGCCATCCTGGGGTCAGGCTGGAGTCTATTCCTGCCGGAGCTGCTGAGTCACTGCCACCTCAGGAAATCACTTGACCTCTGGTTCAGTTGACCTAGAAGGTAGAGTGAAGCCTACAGCCGAGAAGCCTCCATTCGAAAGGCCCTTGCTATTAACTGGAACCCTCCACTGACTTCCCAGCCACGTGAACCCAAAGATTTAAGAATGAACAAATTAGGTAAGGTGCATTAGAATACAAAAACATCAATTAAGAAAAGAAACACACACAGACAAAACAAACTCAGTGATTTCTTCCCAAGGAAAACATCACCAGAAAAGCAGACCAAAAATATCTTCTGGTCCTCTTTCAAATATGGTCTGCATCTTGGAAGGGTGGTAAAAACATGGATCAGATCGCGCCTCTCTTAAAGAGATGCCTATTCTATCCCCTTCCATAAGTTATCCAAAGCAGGATGTGAAAAGGCTCAGGTGTGTGGGAAAGGTAGTGGGGTGGTAGGCAGGAAGCAGCAACAGAAAAAAACAAACAAAACTAAAGGACAGATAAGGCATTCATTACACTGTATTTCAAAAGGCAAGGAGAAGACTTCAGTAATATAGAACATCTACATGAGGGACAGATCCAATGGTGTCCCTCCACACCTTCTTTTCATAACACAGAGTTCTGTTCTTTGGCTTAAAGATCTATAGGAATTGTCAACTAAATAAATGTTCGCTTTGTATTAAAAAAATTTATTTTGTGATCTGTACATGTGATAAAGTGGGGCTTCCTTGTAGACTTTTAAAGGCAAAACAAAACAAAAACCCAAAAGTAAAAATGTATAAATACAATATATATTTTCTTACAAAAATGGGAGATTTACAAAATATACATACTGCACTTGTCTCTATTTTACAAATTTCACATGCAAGAGATACAACACAAAAGATGCCAGAAACTGTGTAGTGGGAGTTTTAAATCTGACAAATGAGACCATTTTGGAGGTTTAAGAAACACAAGGTCGATGTTAACTTTAATATAAAAAGCAGCTCCACTCAACTGAACATTACATATATAAAGTAACTTGTACTCCTGACAGTACCCTCTATGATTTAAAAACTATTTAAAACAGCATTAAAAAATTGTTTTGAGAAACAGGATGGTGTTGCAAGATTGGAGGGTGGTGTCAAAGGTGGAGTAAAGGTTAGCTCCCATGATTCTCTGCTCAGCTTTAGAGCATTATGCAAAAGAATCAGCTCTATTATAGAAAAAAAGTACATGATTTAAGATTAATAAATTTAAGTCATGCAGCACATTTCAAAGAACTCCAGAATTACTTTGAAGTTTACCTTCTTTTAATGACTTTCCTTAAAAAAGGGGACCCATGGTTTGAACTGTCCACTTCATTCACTGTCATTTCTGCAGGTCACCTCCCCACCCAGCCACACAAAGACAGGGTCAGCATACACATGATGTCTTATAAACGGATTTATGGAACTAAGAAAACAGGACAAAATGGCTCTTTACTTTTTAAAAAAATTTAACTTCTTTATTATGGAGGCAGACGGCATCATGCTTTTCCTTTTACCTTGAATCAAGGATTCAAATTGGAAGAAAATAGAAAACCCAAATGCAGGTTTATAGGAAGAAAAAAATAATAAAGGGAGAGATTTCCCTGAACATTTGAACAGAGTCTGTAGATAGGATTGTGTGTTCTGAATTAAATTTATTTAAAACAAATACAACAAACCCCTTGCATTTCCTTTAGCCAAGTCAGAACCTCTGACTGACTGGGGGTATGGAAGCACGCTGCCGTTCACTTATCCTTAAAAAGTAATGTTTATCTCAGCCAAATTAACATCCAAAGGGAAACCTCTGATTTGTGCTACTTGCCTATAAAAGTTGCTGTCTTCACAGTTATGCCTTTCCACAGGGGAGACACTTTTGTTTCCTCTTTTGTCTCTTACAACAAAGACAAGGGGAAAAATGCACTCCTGTTTTGAAAAGCAACAAGTCATCACTTCTTTTCAGAGTATTAAACCAAATAAAACACCTTCTTCCTTCTGCCTTCCCCAGAAAATAAAAAAGTAGCAGAAATACCTACTACTCATCTCCTTTGCCTCCTCTCGAAATGTTATCTTCGTTTCTTTCGCATCCTCACATTCTAGGAGGCGGGCCCCCCAAGACTTCCAAATGCCTATTTTACAAGACTTGAAAGGACCAGGAGAGGAAAAACAGGCGGGAGGGGACAGGGGAGGAGAGACTGTAATGTCTGACCCTGGAAATTAACCCATCTGGGCTCCAGTTTGGCCCCAGTGAAAAGAGATTATGGTTTGACCACCGCTTGACAAGGACACCGCAGGGAGTCCTCCCTTTTCCCAACAAAGCCGCTGCCGCAGACAGAGCTGTACCTTTCACCCGGGCCTCACAGCAGTGAGGAGGACAGGCCACTTGTCTTGCAGCAGGGGAATCGCTCACAGTCCCAGTTCGGCCCTGGAGCCGGGAAGAACTCAGAGCCATCTCTGCTGGGCTCAATCTCGATAGGCCCAGGTCGGCCGGTACCGTACACGATTAACATCATCGTTATCATCACCATCATCATTATCTTCCCGCAAGTCTTTGCCATGTCTTTTCATCCCAACCGTCTTTTCACCCAGGCTTCCTTTTCCAAACCCACCCCTCACCCCAAATCTACAAATATCATCTCTCTTCCAGGTCACTTCTCATTGGAGGGGGTGGAGGTTACAGGACACCCCTCCCCCCACAGCAGTTCTCTCCTTCCCACGCCTCTCCCCCTGCTAGGGGGATGCGGGAAGGGAGGGTGGGGGAGGGGCTGAGGCTCATACCGCAGTTTCCCCCTTGCTGCTGTGGCTGAGTCTGTGGTAGAAGCGGCGCCACGACTGCAGAGTCTTGCCGGACCAGATCCAGAAGCCGGTGGTGATGCCCACGATCATGGTCATCAGGTACTTGATCATGAAGACAGTGAAGTCGGGGCTCATGGGCGGGAAATGGCCAGGCGGGCAGGGCACCGCGTAGCTCTTGCACGTCTGCAGGAGCCAGGTGCGCTCCCAGTGTTCGCGGAAGGCCTGCTCATAGAAGTAGCAGGCCAGGACGATGGTCGCGGGCACCGTGTAGAGCACGCTGAAGACGCCGATGCGCACCATGAGCTTCTCCAGTTTTTCGGTCTTGGTTCCGTCGTGCTTCATGATGGTGCGGATGCGGAAGAGCGACACGAAGCCGGCCAGCAGGAAGGACGTGCCAATGAAGAGGTAGACGAACAGAGGCGCCAGCACGAAGCCCCGCAGCGCATCCACGCTGGACAGGCCCACGTAGCACACCCCACTGAGCAAGTCCCCATCCACCTGGCCCATGGCCAAGATGGTGATGGTCTTGACAGCGGGCACGGCCCACGCGGCCAGGTGGAAGTACTGCGAGTTGGCTTCGATGGCCTCATGGCCCCACTTCATGCCGGCTGCCAGGAACCAAGTGAGCGACAGGATGACCCACCAGATGGAACTGGCCATGCCGAAGAAGTACAGCACCATGAAGAGGATAGTGCAACCCTCCTTCTTGGTGCCCTGCGCCACCGTGCGGTAGCCATCGTCTGAGAAGCGCTCCACGCACACGGCGCGGTCCTCCAGCAGGAAGCCGGCCACGTGCGCCACGGCCACCATGAAGTAGCAGCCGGACAGAAAGATGATGGGCCGCTCGGGATAGCTGAAGCGCCGCATGTCCACTAAATAGGTGAGCACGGTGAACAGCGTCGAGGCGCAGCACAGCACCGACCACACGCCCACCCAGAGACGGGCAAAGCGCCTCTCCTCCTCCTTAAAGTACATTAGGCCGTTGGCACGGCCTGGCTCGCACGGGGCGCCGCAGTCGCGCTCGCCCAGGAAGCGGTAGCCCAGGTAGGGGGGCACCTTGAGCTGGCGGGGGCACGAAAAGGGGAAGGCAGAGCGGCCCCTGCCGTCAGCGGCCCCCGGGGGCAGCGCGGAGTAGGGCAGGTCCGGCATGTAGGGCGCGGTGGGGTATGCTGTGGGGCCGCCGCCCGGGCCCCCGGAGCCGTCGGACGTGTTCTGGCCCACGCAGATCTCGCCCGCGCCGTGCACCGGGAAGTTCTCACAGCGCAACCGCTCGGGCCACTGGAAGCCGAACTTGTTCATGAGCGCTTCACAGCCCTGGCGGGCACGCTCGCACAGAGAGCGGCACGGCGGGATGGCCTGATCCAGCACGGTGCACACGGGTGCGTACATAGAGCACAGGAAGAAGCGCAGTTCGGGAGAACACTGCACCTTCACCAGCGGGTAGAACTGGTGTACCTCGAGGCCCGCGTCCTCTTGATTCGTGTGGCCTAGCAGGTTGGGCAGGATGGTCTGGTTGTAGGCAATGTCCGTGCACAGCGGGATGGAGATGGGCTGGCAGAAGCCGTGGTCCGGCACCGAGATCCCCTTCTCGCCGTGGTAAGGTTGCGCCCCGGCGCCGGCGGGCAGCGCGCCCAGCAGCGCAAGCACCAGGGTGCACAGGCCCAGGGGCGAGCGCGACGCGGCCGCGCCGGGGCCCCGCATCGCCGGCCACGGGTGCAGCGGCGCTCTCAGCCGGAGGAGCGCGACGAGGCAGCCGGGAGAGGCTTGGATCCGAAGAGGCGCGGTCGCGCCCGGCGCATGAGAGTCCTCCCGGCGCCGGGGCCGGGCCGTGGGCGGCGCGGCGCTGAGGGCGCTGCAGCTGGGGTGCCCGCGCCGCGGGGGCGCCGCTGCCGTCTCCACCCAGCACTCGAGCAGCCGCGGGGAGCCCTAACTCGTCTGTTTAGGTTGGGGGCGCTGAGGGGGGCCGCCTTCTTCTCCCGCTGCGACGTAACGGTGCGGTTTTTTCTGCGGCGAGGATCAACAAGCGTCTCCGGTTACCCTTCAAAGTTTGCCCAAAGTCTATCGACCCACAGCGCACAGTAACGCACGCGCCCCCCACACCAAGTCCGGCCCCCGGCAGGCGAGAGCCCGGCGCCGCCGCCTGCTAGCCTCGGCCGCCGCCTCGGCCGTGCTGCTCCGCCTCCTCGCCTCGAGGTTCTCTCGCCGCCGCCGCCTCCTCCTCCTCCCTCGCCTCCTTTTCTACTCCCCCGCTCCTTCTTCAGCCCCAAAAGCTCGGCCCCCAAGTTTCTGCCAAACGGGTGATTCTCGCGCTCAGTCCGATCGGCGCCTTGGAGCCAAGAGCTCAGCGAGTTCTTTTTGGAAATCCAGTTACACTGCGTCCGAAGCTGCGAGGGCCCGGTGCCCGCGGCCTGGGCCTGGCCTCTCCAGCCTCGCGAAGCCCTGGCCGGTGAGTCCCGGCGCCCGCCGCCGCCGCCGCCGCCCGCCGGGAGGGAGCGAGCGCAGAGTAACGCCTCGGAGTCGCGCAACTCGCCAGAAGAAGCGTCGGGCTCGCAAGGTTCCGGGCCGCCCCGCCCCCTCCCCTCCCCCCATTCACAAACCACTCCGGGGGCGGACCCTCGAGCTCCAGGACGGCCCAATAGTAGCCTTTGTTTTCTGTGTGGCGGCCTCCGGATTGGGTGGAAGTCGGAAAGGCCGGGCGAGGGAACTGGAGAGGAGGAGTCTGAAGCGCTCTGGGCGGATTCCTGAGGGGAGGGGCAGGGGTTCGGGACGGAAAAGTTAAGAAAAACTTTTACGGTGAATTCGCTCGAGGGTTGGGGGGTGGGGGTAAACGCACCAGAAAGGGAATTTGCCTCAAAGGTTTGTTCCTCTTCCGGGTACGCTAAAATACACATCTCGAACAGGAGGGCGAAAGGACAGAGGCTTTTGCTGGGAGAATAGCGCAGCGCCTCAGCGGAGAGACGTGACCCGGAGTCACGTTAGCCCTGTCTGGGCTGAAAATGCTGGGTTTGGCAGGGGCTTTTGGATAGCTGGATCCTAAATATGGGGTTCGGTACCGAGCGAGAAGGGGTGCGCCTCTCAGATCGATTTTTTCTCCCCAGACCCAAACAGACCACGTGAGGCCACAATCCCTCACACCCTCTCTCCGGGTTGTAGAAAGGAGGAGGGGCCCGCGTCCGAGGAGAAATTGGAGTCGGGAGGAGGGGGCCGACTTAGGGCGGGAGGAAGTACAGACCCCTCCGAGGGGAGAGGGCTAGGGAGCGGCGGGCTCGGGGGACCCGGGCCCCCAGGCCACCCGCCTGCGAGCACGGCCCAGAGTCTAGAAATCTGGTGTGGCTTTAGAGCGGTTATAAGAAAACTAAGACAGTGTTGGGCGGGGGGGGCGGTATAAAAGTACCTGAGACCGAATGCCCGGGAACACTCTGTACGGTTTAAAGTGCGTCTTCGATTGCGGCGCTTTCCTTAGTTCTTCGGCGTGTGGCCATTCGGGATCCTCTCTTCGTTGCAGAAGCAATGACTTGATCCTGTAGTTGAAATGTTGCGTAGAGAAGTTTCAATGCGTATTAGAAACCAGGGCATTTGCTAATTAAGGAGTTTTCAAAACACAAAGAGAGGTGATCCGTGTTCTCCAGTGGCGTTTTCTGATTGGCAAGCGGTCTTTTGTTCCCGGTCAAATCTTGGCCCTGCTCGCGGCACTGGGCGCTCCCGGGAGCTCTCCGGTTACTCCCGGCGAGGTCAGAATTTACCCGGGGGCCTCTCCCCTCTCTCTGGGCAGCAAAGAATACCATGAATTCCCATGCAGGGTAGTGACAATTTGAGAAAGGCTAAATCTGTCTCTCATTCTGTCTCTGTCACACACACGCACGCACGCACGCACGCACAAATACTATGCTTAAGAAAACGTTACTCCTGGCTGAGCCCTTCCTTCTACCAGGCTCAGTTCCGGGCGCTGGACCCTGAGGGATTTCTGATCAGGTTGCGTGTTTGCAGAAGTTGCTGCCTCTGCTGCCCCCGGTGAGCTGCTTCTCCAGCAAGAAAAAACTGGTTCTGAAATCTAAGACAATTCATTGGGTTCCCTTCCATGGGAGACTTTGGCTTCCTCTGTTTCTCTTTTATTTATTTTCTGTTACTGAAGTTTACTGAGCATCTTACCTTCCACTTCACAGTTCTTTGTCCTTTTCCACTCTTGTTAATGGATCTAGAGAGCTGAATCATTTGGGCCAAGGTAGGGTGTCAGACTGCTCACATTCTCCATCCGCCCCTCAACAGGAGTCCTCATACTCTTTTTCTTCCAAAGCATCAGCTTCCCCCTCACACCCAGGACCTTATTTGTTTTCTTTTGGGTTATCTGCTGCAAGGTACCATACAAAGGATTAATGACATTTGCTTTAAAAATATTTTATTCCTTCCTTATATATTTTTAAAGGCTCCTCTTTTTCTTTCTAGATTATTATTCTTACTACCTAACATTGGGGAGCATTGATATTGCCTTGAAAGATGTTGTTTAAAGACAATGCTGCTGCTTTGCTTTGTCATTTAAAGTGTGTGTGGTAGGGGGTTGGAAATCCTTTTTTCTCTCCGTGAGCTTCTGGATATCCTCCTTTTCTAAATCAAATTTTCATGCTTATTCATCAGGCCACAGATCTAAGTCATCTTTGCTTATTGAGGGAGAAATTGCAAGCACTGTCATCAAATAAAATGAAAACCGACAGGATAAAATACTGTTTCAAATAAAGCTAAAACCAGTTTAGTTGATGAGCTTTTACTCCCCATATTATAGCCCCAGACAGTTTGCTGATGATAGGTAATAGGGATAATTATTTAGAAAGAAAAAAGGAGAACCCTTTAAGAAAATACAAGGGGTGAATGAAATATTTTTAAAACAGTCTATGCATAAGATGCAGGAAACCCATCCCAGATGGAAAGTATCGCAGATGTGAGTCCTGAGTCCTATTGCACTGTCCCAGGCAGACAAATGCAAAAGGCATAAAAGCAAAGACTACTTTTTTGGAGTGTTTTGTTTTTTAAAAGGATTTTTCAAAACCCACTCGAAAATTATTTTGAAAAATAAGAATTTTCTGTTCGTGAGAGGAGTGTGGCAGCCTTCTATGCCTTGCCTGATACAGAATGCTCTGATTTCAAGGAGCTAAGTAATAAATGGGAGTAGATCAGAAAAGCGAGTTCACAATGTAGGGGGCTAAATAGTCTGTTTTAGGCTGTATGATAAATGTAGTAACACTGGTTCACATTCTGTCCAGGATCAATTTAATTTTCTTTTCCAAGCAATTCTTTCCACACCCAACTCCCAAAGCCACTAACTGGTATCTTCTTTGGAGAGCTAAGGGTGGAAAATTTTGTAACTGTCTGCTGCAAAACTTCCAATTGTCCCTGCCCTTTAAAACAACAAAGGCTTTTATTTCTTCACATCACAGTCATATGGTCTCACAGAAAAGTGATGGTATTCATTGGCTCCAGTTATTTAAATGCTACTTATTTTGGCCAAGTCCCAGGTTTATCTAGTTGAATTACATTCTGATGTCAGGCCAGATTTGAAAATGGCCACCTTCGTGGTGCCACAATCCTGTGGCTGTAGTGAAAACTCCAGCTGCAAGAATTACTCACGCAAGATGAGAAAGGGCAGCTTTTAGTATATACTCCCCTTTTTTGGCCTCTCTTTTACCAGACAGTTTTTTGACCTTATAACATTAAGGACTTGGAATTTCAAGTTGCCAGGTTGCCATTGAAATCCTTTCATTTTAGTTTGGGGTGTTGGATCATTCCCAGAATGGGAACATTTGTATCCCTAAACAGACTTTCCAGTGTCATGAAAGTTAGAGATGTCTAGATTAAAAAAGAGGGCCATGCTGAAGTCCTGATAGGCGTGCTAGGCCCCACGCAGTAGAGGTGATTTATATCATTCAAACCCTTTGACCATTTCTCTTGTTGCTTGAGGGTTGCATTAGTTATCTATTGTTGTATAACAAATTACCCCCCAAACTTAGCAGCTTAAAACAACAGACATTTAATATTTCATAGTTTTTGTATATTGGGAATCTGGATGAGCTTAGCTTGGTCCCCTGGCTTGGGGTTGTTCATGAAACTGCAACCAGGGTGTTGGTTGGGGCTGCAGTTACCTCAAGGTTCAAGTGGAGGAGGATCCACTTCCAAACTCATGTGGCTATTGGCAGGTCTCAGACTATCCATTTCCAAGGTCATCACATGGCTGTTGGCAGGCCTCAGGTTCTCACTAGCTGTTGGCTGAAGACCTCAGTTCCTTGCCTGTAGGCCTCTCATAAAGCCACTTATAACATGGTACATGCTCTCCCAGAGCAAGTGCTGAGAGAAGGAGAGAGAGACACACAGAGAGAGAAAGAGAGATAGAAAAAACACAGAAGATGGCAATCAAGTCACAGTCTTTCTATAATCTTGGACATCCTGTCACTTTTGCCATATTCTACTCATTAGAAGCAATTGGCTAGGTCTACCCATACTCCACACTCAAGGGGTAGCAGGGATTACTCTAGGGCATGAAAACACATTGGAGGGTGAGGATCACAAGGAGCCATTTTAGAGACAGTTTATCATAAGGATTATTCATTCATTCCTAAAGTATATGGAGAGGAGGCCACAGAGAGAAACAACCCTTAGGTCCCTGCCTTGTGGTGTCCAGGGAAAGGATCACAAATAAAAACACATATTGACTGGTTATAATGCCACTTGCATCTGTTAGGACAGAAACCTAATTGTGGCCAGCCATTTTTTCAAATACATGCCATTGGACTTGAAGGAGAAAGAATGTGGAGGAAGTTGATTAATGAAAGGCCATCAGCAATCCTGGGGGAAAACCTCCAGGTGGAGAGGGTGGGCCATTCTGGGGAGTCAAATCTGTACTCAAGGACAGAACATTTGGACCATAGTCTCTAGAACAAGACTTTGGCGATTTGGGTTATGAGGTAGAGGCACTGTTGGTAATTGCTACCTATGTGTTTAACACCAGTCTGCCCAGTACAGATGTGGAGGAAGGCTGGCAGAGGTGATTAGCACAGACTGCCTAGGTTCTGCTTTTCACCATTGATTTCCTGTCATGCCTCGGGCAAGTCACTTAACCTCTCTGGCTCCCTCAGTGTGCTGTGAGAATTAATGAGATAGTATTTATGCAATGCTTTGTGATCTATGGGCAAAAAATCATGATGACAGAATCCTAGTTTGGTTGTATGGATGCAAATCATAGAAATAAAAGACCAAGTTAGGTGCATATTTTGGGGCTCTGGCTCTTTGCTAATGTTGTGATTTTTTTTTTTTTCAGTAGTATGTTGGTAAATGTTTAATCACCAGCTCTCCAAGAAAAAAGCCCTAATCTGTACATTTGCCCATTTCCATGGTGTAAATACTGCTACCATGGCTTATTTCAAGGCAACACTATGTTACTAAGCTTGAATTTTGGAAAAGATGCAGGTAATCAGCTCTCACAAGCCCTGAATAGCTGGCTTTTAGCACACCATTGGGTTTACAGAACTTATTCTCTTCAGATTATTTTGAGCATTAAAACCGTTATATTTTTAGTAGAATGATTATCATTTGTAAAGTACCAGGTGTTTTAGGTATAATATTCCTAAGTTTATAACAATTCTTCAAGTTTCTAGATAGAAACTCCTTTTTATAGTAGCAGCGTCTGGACTAAAACCTAGATTTATATAACATTTTTCACTTTGCACTGAACTGCTACTTGATGTCTTCCTGGTAAACATCACTAATTTTTGTCCTTTTATCTGTCTTATCAAAAGCCCTTCTAAAATTTAGAGAAGCCCCAGAATTTCTAGACTTGAGATACCAAGCCCCAGATTGGTTATGACCCCCCAGAGTATCATTCCTGTACAGCTTTCAAAACCACTTGGTAATGCTTACTATTTTTTTTTTTTCTAATTTTTCAAGGAACAATTTAATTGCCATTGCTGAAACTGAGCCAGTAGGGATCTAGATTACGAGATGTGGGGGACACTTTTCCTGTTCCACTAGGATGAGTGTGTCAGGCCCTTCCCATCACAGCATCTCAGCGGGCCGTGAAAGTCAGCAGAGCACTAGGAGGAGAAGCTGCGGGAACAAGACTCACAATATTCATGACAGCCTCCAAGGGAACCTTCAAGAAAAGAGAGGATGGAGCTGGAGCAGTGGCCGGAAGGGTGGTTATCAGAATCACCTAAGGAATTAAAAAAAAAAAAAAATCAGAAGCCTGTGCCCCACCTCGGACATGTTGAACCAGAATCTCTGGCATTGGACTTGGGGGTTTAAGTTTTAAAAGCTCATTAGGTGATTTTTTTTAATTAGACAGGTTTCAGAACCACTGACCCAAACTCATATTCCAAAGCAGGGTCTTGTGCCATCGATGCCTTATAGAAGATCTCTGGTGTTGTGCAAAGTCCTCGCTTTACTTGATTATGTTTTGAACGGAGGGATGGAATAATGAGAAGCATACGGGAGGATGGGGTGTGTGAGGGGTGTGTGTGTGTGTGTGTAAGAGAAAATA